CCTAAGCAAAACAACCTTTTCTCCCACCTCCTCCTGCCTCAAACCTAGTAACTCATGTTTCTATTTTCTAGCAATACTAATGATTTATTGTGTAGTGACAGATATTTGCTCCCTATTTACCCCCTTTCAGCATTCTAGGATGCATCCCTGTTACATGTATTTCTATACTAAGTCGCAGAATTTCTATAGCAAGATCTGTCCTTTGAATGTCTGTATTCCTTTGTCAGTGGAGAATATTACTGTCCAAGTGCTATTTAATGATTTCCTTAGTGGGCTACAATTGGTATAACATGCTATGTTCACAGGTGAAAATTGCTAAGTGGGGCACTATACAAAGCAAGTTAAGGTCATAGACCTCTTTTTTTAAAATAAAAAAACAATCATCATAAATAAAAGTGAGACAGTCTTTCAGGATTGGTAACAGGAAAGTATGAAGTCGGTATTTTGCACTGACACAGTCTACTTGGTCATAAAATTTGTTCAACATACTTAGTGAGTTAGCTTTATTTTTTCTTTTCCTAACCAGGGAAACTGATAGATTAGGCAATTTTGAGAATTTTCCCATGATCTGATGTCATGGATTGAGCTATAAAACAGAGCATCTAAATTTATGGACTAACACTGCCCACAGAAGCCAAAGTTATCCCTTTGAAAGAGGGAAGGAAAAGGTGTGCTTAGATCATAAAAATAACTGAATTTTAAAACAAGGCAAATGCCACACTTCTACTCCCCCCGCCAAAAAAAAAGTTTTTACCTTTTCATCTTTCTATATAACAACTGTAAAGTATTCTTGCCCACTGCAATCCAACTGTTTTCCAGATCACAGTTCTTATCATCATTTCACAGGCAAGCAACGCATCTATAGATAGATCATACCTGAGGACGTCATGGACAGCAAGGGAATATTTTTTCCCACACTTGGCATGAAATAATATCAGGTCAGTGTCTTACTCTAGTGTTTCTACTAAAATATATAATATATAATTTAATCAGGTGTCTGATGGACAGAAAAAAATAAATACGTGTAACTTTGTAAATCCCCTCAAGGTTTTGTTTTTGAGAAGTTTGGGTTTTATTTTTTATTTTATAGAAACATTGTTGAAATGCACTTCAATTCTATTTCAATTCAGGTGCTGCACCCTGTACTAGATGTTTGGGGATAGAAAGATAAGTGGAACACGATTTGTGCACTCCAGGAGCTATCATCCAATGTAAAAGAAAACTGAAGTGCCATTGTTTATTCGAAGTATATGTCTTAGTTTGTGGACCTCATATAATCTGTTGAATGGAAGGTTCGTGTAAATCAACAGTAATACTGCCATGCCACATGAAACCCTTTGACATTGCCAGGAAACAACTTTAAATCACCAAAAAGCTTTTACATCAAACAACACTTTTAGAAAGAGGGGACTTGGTGAAAAGCTTCCTATCTCTACATTGAGCCTGTGAGTTGTCCCCTAAAAGAAGTTTACACATTTTTTTAATACTCTAAGTTTGTAGATAATGGAACTGATTTAAATCAAACTTAACTAGAATAGAATTTGTGTGTCATGAGTTATATTATTATCTATTGTCTCATAAGCAACACACTCATTATCTTGGCTGACAAAATCAGCTACCATTCAATGAACCAAGTTAAGAATAACTCAGGTGCCTGATGCCAAAAATAAATCTGATAGAGCTGAGAATCCAGAAACTATTATTCAGTAAAGGATAAAAGTAACATTTCAAATCAGTAAGGGAAGAATTGATTATTAATAAATAGTATTGGGATGACATAACCATTTGGGAAAAAGAATTTAGATCTCTAGCTCACAAAAATTAATTCCAGCTAGACGAGCAGTAAGTCTTATGCTTTTTGGTTACATATCCCTTAGAAACCTCCCTGTGAAAATGCAGGTAAGCAAAAAGTTTTACAAGATTATGAAGAGATGCCCAACCTCAGCAAAATAAAGGAAATGCACGTTAAAAAATAAGAAACTATCTCAAATCCAATTGGCAAATACTTAAAATATATGTAAATCACAAGGCTGCAAGGGTCTGGAAAAACAGGAATCCTACATTGCTAGTAAATGTATAAATTGGCATAGCTACCTTTAAAGGCAGTCGAATGATATCCATTAAAATTTAAAATTCACATGCCCTGTCACCCAACATTTCCAGTTTTTAATGAAACACACTTTTCATACTTGTGTTCACAGGGTGGCTTGTACAACTGTACCTTTGTAATAGAATAAAATTGGAAAAAACAAAATACCCATCAAGAGGATGGAACAATATACAACACTGGGCATCAATGAAAAAGAATAAGATTCATACACATACTGACATGGAAAGATCTCGAAGATACAATAAGTTTTTTGAAAGTTTGGAGGAAAATAAAGGCTAATACATGCAATACATATGATACCATTGATTTTAAGACGCATATATACACACACACAAATAAATACTGTATAGTGTACTTCTTAAGTACCTACTTGTATATTATAAAAATGTACAGAGAAGGTCTGGAAGGATACTAACCAAACTGTTAACAGTAGTTTGGTGGAGTGCATTAGCTTTAACTGTAATATTCGATGTTTTTGAGTATGCATTCATGTATTGTTTGTGTAATGACAAATTAATAAATTAGAAATAAAATAAAATAGAAGGTGTTTTCTTCTTGTCTTCTGCTAATGTCCTCCCTGGTGCTCTGGGTCTCATTGTTTTCAGCCTCCTCCCCTCCCCTCTCCCTCTCTTTCATTTCTTCTCCTTCCCCGTCTCCTGGGACTTCATCGCATCAGTGTTTATACAGGCTTAATATGTAAACACATGATAAATAAGTAACCCTCTCCGCCTAACTGGGAGTGTGCTCTCTCCACTTGCTTTTTCTGTTACCTATTCCGCCTTTCCACTTCCTCCTCTTGCACTCACTGCTTGTTGCACGCAGTCTGACATGGGAGGAACTCCCACTGGGCCCCAAAACCATTTTCACAGGGTCACCAATGAGCACTGTGTTGCTAATTCCATCCAGGAAGTTTCAGTCCTTATCATATTGAACAGTTTTACCTAATTTCGGTTTATTATCATTTGTTTAGTCTAGCAGATAGTTTTCTACCTGTTCATTTCCCTTCTTTTCATTTTTTTAGGGGTTTCTCTTGTTAAAAAATATACATGTATATATGAGAGAGAGAGCTGAATTTCCAATTTGTCTTTAATAGATTAAACCATTTTCATGTATCATTACAAGCATATTTGGCTGTATTTCTACCATCTTATTTTGTGTTTTCTCCTTAGAATGCTATCTAGTTCCCACCCCCCCTTTTCTCCCTTTTCCTGGCTTTTGTTCAATTGATTGTTTTCTTATTCGTATTTTACTCCTCTGATCTTTGGGAAGTTATACATTCCATGTCCATTCTTCCAGTGGTTTGTCTTCTAAATTTTTTATCATTTTGCTGTGGAAATTTTTAGTCATATACAAAAGTAAACAGTATAATGAACTCCTTTGTACCTACCACCCAGCTTAAACAATTATCCACTCATGAGCAATCTTGTATTATTTACACTTGCACCAATTTTCCTCACTATCCTCTGGATTATTTTGAAAGAAATTCAAAATAGATCTCCTAACATTTCCTCCATTCCTATTATATTTCAGCACATAATTCTAAAAGATAAGAATTCTTTTTTAAAAAAAAAACATATTACTATTATCCCACTTAAAATTAACAATAATTCCTCAATATTATTAAAAATCTAGTTTATGTCTACATTTCCCTGGTTGTCTTAAATTTTTTTATAGTGAATTTGTTGGAATTCAGATCAAAATAAGGTCCCTACAGTGCAACTGGCTGGCATGCCTCTGAAGTCTCTTTTAATCTATAGATTCCCTACTCCCCTCTGTTTCCCTTGAAATTCTTTAAAAATTAGTGTTGTTTGTCCTGTAGCTTTTCCAAAGTCTGATTTTTCCTGATTGCATTCTGGTAGAATCATCTGTCCCCTAGAGTTAGATTAGCTAATTAGATCTACAAGCTTAATCAGATTCAGGTTCATATTTTATCCAGATTCATTAATAAGTGATGATGTATACTTCCATCCTATAATGTCTGTTTGTCCCTATTTTGTGATTTGGGCAGCAATTAATAATCACTGTCTAGAACAGTAGGCTGTTAATTCTATCATTCCTTCTCACTCATAAAGTGAAATTACTTCTCTAAAGAGAAACTCGCCCTAATCAAGCTATTCAGTTACCCTGAGGTACGGTTCATATAAGGAAGATAGGGACTTAATTCTTTCCTTTTATTTCTCAGTTTTCAAAATAATGAGTTGCATACCTACAAAGGAATAAAAATAAATAAGGAGGGCGGCTGGGTGGCTCAGTTGGTTAAGCAACTGCCTTCAGCTCAGGTCATGATCCTGGAGTCCCGGGATCGAGTCCCGCATCAGGCTCCCTGCTCAGCGAGGAGCCTGCTTCTCCCTCTGACCCTCCCCCCTCTCATGTACTCTCATTCTCGCTCTCTCAAATAAATAAGTAAATCTTTAAAAGATAATAATAAATAAATAAATAAATAAATAAATAAATAAATAAATAAATAAATGAGTGACTAAGGAAGACTCACTCTGATATTTATTCTGAGAAGAGGGAAGAGAGGATGAAGGGAGTTGATTTAGGATGCTATATTTCAGGTGTTGGTAGGGAGAAGCCAGGAAATGATAACCCCAACAAGTTGGGAGATGGGAAATGGCAACCTAAAGACTCGTCTGAGGGTACCTGGGTGGCTCAGTCATTAAGCGTCTGCCTTTGGCTCGGGTCATGATCCCAGGGTCCTGGGATTGAACCCGGCATCGGGCCCCCTGCTCAGCGGGAAGCCTGCTTCTCTCTCTCCCACTCCCCCTGCTTGTGTTTCCTCTGTCGCTGTGTCTCTCTCTCTCTGTCAAATAAATAAATAAAACCTTAAAAAAAAAAAGACTCGTCTGTTTACGGCTGAGCCTGGGTGTAACTTCTGAGTCAAGAGTACCTTGAGAGAATGCAGGTAGGAAGTCCACATCTGGGCAGAGTGGAGGCTGGCTTGGAGGCACCATCAGCAGACAGGAAAATCAGGGCAGAGTGCCCTGAGAATCCACAGAACGAAGAAGTACACAAATGAGCAGCGGACTTTTGTGTGCTTGCTTTCTACCACATGGATACCTTACAAGTCAGGAGGTTTCCTAAGAAACACAGCATGGGATGAAGGATATTTAGCTTATGCAGCATTACTTCTAAGCAATGCAATAAAGATCAGCAACACTAGTACCCTTTGTCATATTGCCTTTGTTAACCTTATCTTGACTCTCCATGAGAATCAGTTTCATTTTTATGGCTGCCCTGGACACAAGAAGCGGTTTCAGTGTTGGGGCATCAGCTTAAGAACCTCGGTGGTTGACTCAAGAACCTAGGTCTGTAGGGCCCTCCTAGAAACCACTCCTCTCATCCACCTTTCGCAGGCCCTAGTTCTCTCCCTCGCTTCTCCCCTTTCCTGCTCCATCCTATCCTGTCCCCAGTTGACTGTCCTTGTGAAGCACTCACTAAGATAAAAAAGAAGCTCCTTCTCAGGAATATCAGCCTCTTTTTAAATGGGACTCTTGGGGCGCCTGGGTGGCTCAGTCAGTTGAGCATCCTACGCTTGGATTTGGCTCAGGTCCTGATCTCATGCCCCCACGGCCCCCTGCTCCGGCCTAGCATCTGGCTTCCAGCTCAGAGGGAGTCGGCTTGGCTAGTCTCTCGATCTGCCCCTTTGCCCCCTCCCGCTCTCTCGCTTTCTCTCTCTCTCTCTCTCAAATAAATAAATACATCTTTAAAAAGGAAAATAAAAAGAAGTGGGACTCTTGAAGGCTACCCGGTCCCGTGCTCCAGAAAGAATGAACAGGGGAGGGAGCCTGGGTGGCTCAGTTGGTTAAGCGACTGCCTTCAGCTCAGGTCATGATCCTGGAGTCCCGGGATCGAGTCCCACATCGGGCTCCCTGCTCAGCAGGGAGTCTGCTTCTCCCTCTGACTCTCCCCCTCTCATGCTCTCTATCACTATCTCTCTCAATAAATAAATTAAAAAAAAAAAAAAAAAAAGAATGAACAGGGGAAGACTTAGCACTGGCTGCTGAAACGGAGCCAGCCCCTTGCTTCCCGGACCTCGAGTTCCAAACCTGTGCGTCTCTGCTCTTTCACCGACGTCAGCTTCCCGAGCCCATCCCCTTTCCGCATCAGGTAATGGCCGTGATGACAGCTGACTCATTCGGGCTTGCAGCTTTCCTGGAAGTTTCCTCTGCTCAGATAATCACACTTGGGGAGGAAAAAAAAAAACTGGTTAACACAAGCTTCTGCCCCTGAATATTAAAAAATGTTGGCACAACATCGAGACTGTCGGAGAAGAAGAAAGGGCATCAGGGTTCTGGGACCAACACATGGGACTTAAAATGAACTAAGAACATGGCACAGAAGGTTGCCAATGCTTAGAGCCAGAAGCTGAGCGATGTAAAACTAAGTGAGAATCCCCCTTTTGCCCTTTGATAGCTGGGAACCTTCAAACCGGGTCTCCCTCAAAGGTAGTTCGGTGAGAGCAGAGACTCCTCCTTTTTTATTCAGTTGTATTCCTGGTACCTAGTACTATTATTAAATGGATGGAGGGCTGGGTGGATGAATGAATGAGGGTTCACATGTATGTGACATATTCTTTGTTTTTGAGTTTTCTGATCTGCAAATGCAGGTTGAGATAACCAGATCATAGGTTTGTTGTGAGGATTAAACAAGATTAAATATGTACATCACTTAACTGGGAACTGGCCCAACATATGCATGCAATAAACGTTTGTTCTCGCTTTCCTTTTTATCTCTTTCTGGCCATCTGATTGAGGCCATGCTCTCTTTCTCTTCTAAGCATCACTTTTTGACCAAAAGGTCTAGGAAAAAACTGGGTGATTTTTAAGTCCTGGAAATAGCACCTATGATAATTCAGGTTACCTCCAAAATCTTTTTTCCCCTTTAATCTCTTCCTCACAGCTATCTCATCGTAAGGTTTGGAAAAGCAAGTATTTTGCTCATTTCACAGATAGGGAAACGGGTTTGGAGAATCCTGAGAGCTTGTAACCTTCCAAAGATCTCAGATCTGGTTAGTGGTAGAACGAGATTCCAGACTGTGGGATGCCATATCCCATGTTTTTCTCCCTGTTGTACTCAAATGGGTTAGAGATCACAAGAAAAAAATAATTCCTTTTCTGGAACAAATTATGTTGAAGCTGTACACAAATCATTCCTATTCATTGATTCATCTATTTTATTTCATTGAGGCAGCTCTGTGATTCAAAAGATGGCCATACGGAATGAGCAAAATGAGAACAATATGTGACAATATATCCTCCTTGGAATGAAGAAAGGTAAGTCACCATCCAGAGAATACCAATCACACTGCAATCAGCTCACTGATGTCTCTGATTTCTGCAGCCTCAGTGCAGGGCAGAGGTGCTATTTGTTTATTTGTTAGAAATGTGTATTCCCAGGGCACCTGGGTGGCTCAGTTGGTTAAACGACTGACTCTTGATCTCAGCTCAGGTCTTGATCTCAGGATTGTGAGTTCAAGTCCCTCTTTGGACTCCACGGTGGGCATGGAGCCTACTTTAAAATAATAATAACAGTAATAATAATAGTTTATAATAAAAATAATAATTTAAAAATTAAAAAAAAAGAAATGTATATTCCCTTAAGACCACATGATCATTGAAAAGTTCTAATAAAGAAGTTTATTTTTTTTTAAGAGGCAAAACCTCCCCTACCTATTCATTCTCAACTCTGCTCTGTAGAGTTAACCTCTACTAACTCTGCAGCTGAGCTGCATATAATTCAGATATACGCACATCACACATTATGTGTGTGGGGGGGGGTTTTACGTAAGTGGGATCATACTAAACATATTCTTCTTCAACTTGCTTTCTACAAATCTACAATAATCAATGGACATCCTTTTATAACACCACAGAGATCATCTTTATTCATTTAAATGGTTGCATAGTATCGTATAATAAGCCATACCATAACATTTCCCTATTAATGGACAACTGGCACTTGGTTTTTTTCCTATAACCAAGACTGTTTATCCATATATCTTTGTCCGACTGCATGAGAATTTCCTCTGCATGAGAATTTCTTCAGAATAAGAATGTCATTAGCCAACATTTCTTGAGTCCTTTGCCTTCACACCATGTGATTAGGAAAAGAGGATGGCTGAGTTGTGGCTCTGAAGTCATTTTACTGTAAAAAAGTGGAGAACTAAGCCTCACAAAAGGTAAAACCAGAATGTTGTCTCCGGGGACTTTTTGTTTTCGTTTTACAACTACGGAAGTATGCACTTGTGCTACTCTGCGTTTCTTGGCTTCTGAGGAATTCTTCCCTGGTGACGCTATGTCACCTTCTAAAAAGTTAAGGATATTGAGAGGAGGGGCGTATCCTGAATTACCCAGGTGGACTCTAAATGCAATCACATGTAGCCTTGTAAGAAAGAGACAGAGGAAATCTCAACACAGGAGGGGAGGAGCCAATATAACCACTGAGGCAGCGCTTGGGGTGATAGAGCCACAAGTCCAGGAATACCTGGAGTCGGTGGAAGCTGGAGGAGACAAGACTGCCCTGGAGTCTTGGGAGGAAATCCAGCCCTACCAATATCTTGCTTGGATTCTCGGCCTCCAAAACTGAAAGACGATCCATTTCTGTTGTCTGAAGCCACCCATTTTGTGGCGATTTGTTACGGTAGCCCCAGGAAATGAATGCACATTCCTTTTACTTTTGTTTCCTTGCTGAAGTATTTTATTTTATTTTATTTTATTTTATTTTATTTATTTATTTATTTTTAAAGATTTTATTTATTTATTTGAGACAGAGAGAATGAGAGACAGAGAGCACGAGAGGGAAGAGGGTCAGAGGGAGAAGCAGACCCCCGCTGAGCAGGGAGCCTGATGTGGGACTCGATCCCGGGACTCCAGGATCATGACCTGAGCCGAAGGCAGTCGCTTAACCGACTGAGCCACCCAGGCGCCCCTCCTTGCTGAAGTATTTTAAAGCAGATCTTAGCTCAAGTGTTATTATTTAATCTTTTCTTCTCTCCTCTCTGCCATGTCTCCTGTAAAGTGAAGTTACCTCTAGGGGCTAGCTTAGATTCAAGCTCTACATCATTGGCAAGAAGCTTCCTAGATGGTGTCCTACGCCTCCTGCTTTATCACATTAGCAGACATGCAGGATCTGATTGTTACTTGATGCATTTTTAGTGAGGCCCAGCTTTCAAATAATTTATGCAATCCCTGCTTAAAGACAATGCCCAAACTAATTTCAAACCCACATTTAAAATGTGTCTTCCAAATTCAGGCATAAAATTAGTGTTTCAAATAATATTTGGTCTGAACATATTCTGCTACTCCTGTTCACACTTAACAAAATCATCCCCAGTCTTCCTTGCTTCTAATTCTAGATTAAATGCCTCTAAGCATCTGTCTCCAGCTATCATTTAATAACTACCCAAGCTGCAAGGCACCCCAGAATGATCCAACAAAACAGGAATAATATAGATAACTACCAAATAACTTCATTTTTCCAAGAGGCCTGCTGCAATTTTCCAGCATGGATCTTCACTGTTCTCCTCAATTATATCACAATGAAACCATAGAAGCTGTATTTACTTTTTCTGGTCGCTGTCTCTCTCCTCGGCACTTTAGTTTTGCTTCAAAGCTCCCTGACTTCTCCCTGGACACGGAATATCCAAGAGTTCCTTCCTCTAACCTTACCTCTAGGATGCTTCACTGCCAACCACCAACCTCACAGAGGGCTACTGGGCTCACAGTTTGTTCTCTGATCCAATACCTGAGGTCCAGGTGTGATTATCCCCAAATAGAAGTTCTTTTGTGTTACAGGGAAGGTGTACTGGATAAAAACTCATGGGGATGAAAGGTCCAGCATAGGGAATATAGCCAATGGTCTGTAATAGTGTTGTGTGGGGACAGATGGGAGCACAGCGTAATATATAGACTTGTTGAATCACTATGTTGTACACTTGAAATTAATGTAACATGCATGTCAACTATACTCAAATTTAAAAAAAAAAAAAAAGGAAATGTACTATACTAAGAGTCAAAGGACCTAGGTCCAAGCCCAGGCCGTTGGCTCTCTGTGGCTTAAACCCTTTTCAGGGGTAGTTACCACATGAAGTAGGGTAGCGTTTCCTACCCTGTGGGAAACTAGGTACTGTGTAGACATTTATCCAGCAAAAAGATAATACTGACTCACATAGAAAGTTATCCAAATTTCAATTAACTTCTAATCTGCATGATTAGGTCACCTCAATTTTGTGTTACTAGGCCTTCAACATACATCTCTTTTAACATTGGCTATTCTTTTTTTCTCTCTTTTTAATTGTGGTAAAATACACAATATAAAATTTGCCATGTTAACTTTTTTTTTTAAGTAGGCTCCACACTCAGCATGGAGCCCAACACAGGGCTTGAACTCATGACCCTGAGATTAAGAACTGAGCTGAGGGGGTACCTGGGTGGCTCAGTCGGTTAAGTGTCTGCCTTCGGCTCAGGTCATGATCCCTGGGTCCTGGGATCGAGCCCCGCATTGGGCTCCCTGCTCAGCGGGAAGCCTGCTTCTCCCTCTCCCACTCCCCCCCTGCTTGTGTTCCCTCTCTCACTGTATCTCTCTGTCAAATAAATAAATAAATAAAATCTTAAAAAAAAAAAGAGAGAGAGAGAACTGAGCTGAGATCAAGAGTCTGATGCTTAATCAACTGAGCCTCTGGAGGAAATCCAAAGGCAACCCAGGCGCCCCCCCCCACACCATGTTAACCATTTTTAAGTGTACGGCATAATTTACATTCACATTGCTTACTACCTTTACCACCATCCATCCACAGAACTCCTTTCATCTTGAAAAACTGAAACTCTGTAGCCATTGAACAGTAACTCCCCATTCTTCCCTCCTCCTACCCCTGGCAACCACCAGTCCCACTTTCTGTCTCCATGAATCTGACTACCCTAAGTACCTCATGTAAGTGGAATCATACAGTATTTGTCCTTTTGTGGCTGGCTTATTTCACTTAGCACAATGCCCTCAAAGTTCATTCATGTGATAGCATGTGTCAGAACTTCTTCTTAAGTATGAATAGTATTCCATTGTATGTGTATACCATATTTCGTTTATCCATTCATCCATCAGTGGATCCAATGGGGATACATCCATCATCCGGTTACTCTGGTTACTTCCACCTTTTGTCTATTGCAAATAATCCTGCTATGAACATG